ATGACTACTTATAAGTTCATAAAAGTCAATTCACAGATTCTTTAAAATGGGAAAAACATTAAATAAGTGACTGTTAGATATGTTGTCTGGTTCACAGTATAGTGATCTCTTGAACATCTGAGAGGCTCTGCAGTGATGCTTAAGGGAGCAAGACCTGCATATCTCTCCTCAGAATATGTGCTTGTACTTTTCTCAGCTATTTCTTTCCTGACTCTCATGAACCAGGGTTCCTATGCCAACCTTTCAAAAATAAAAATAAAAAGCAACTCATATGAACCTATCTTTTTCTTTAGTATCCCATCCTGTTCTCGACTATCTTTGTATGGCCAGGAGCCGCGAGGAGCAGAATTTAATTGTAATAGTTCAGGTAATTGTGTGAGTGAGTGTTATACCAAATTGCAAGATGATATTTATATTCTAATGCAGAATTTGTATCCTGTCAGTCTTACTCTATGACTTGTTTTAACATTTGACAGAAAGTTCCCTGACATCAAATGCTCTGCCTTGAGGGATATAATATTTTATATATTTTAATTTGCATTTTGGTTTTTATAATTTCACTCTCAAATAACAAAACTTGGAACTTGGGAATGTTACCAAAAGACAACCTTGTTGGCATTTGTGATGGAAATGAGGCCCATAGAGACTAATTGTGTGATGTTTCCTATTTAATTAGTAAAAGTTCAAGTACTAAACCACTAAATCTCATACTTAGTAGGTTACAGTTTTTTTTAAAAACAATAACTATTAACGAGAAGCTGCTCACTCATGTTTTCAAAAATAGTTCTTACAGACTCGGTAAAGTTTTTGAAATGTGCAGAGCACTGCACAAATGTGAGGGTTGGTGATGGTGACAACATCTAATCATTGTGATAGATTATTGCCATGAGGACTATTAGAATTCAGTTGTCACTACTTAAGCCAATTGACCTCTTGGTGATTGTCTTTCTGATAGACTTTTGGGGGACTTCCCTGATGGCTCATTGAGTAAAGAATCCACCTGCAATGTAAGAGACACAGGAGAGGTGGTTTTGATTCCTGGGTGGGGAAGATCCCCTGGAGGTGAAAATGGCTACCCACTCCAGTGTTTATTTAACTTATATCCAGAGTACATCATGTGAAATGCCAGACTGGATGAAGCACAGTCTCCTAAATCAAGATTGCCAGGAGAAATATCAACGAGCTCAGATATGCCGATGATACCACATTAGTGGTAGAAAGTGAAGAGGACTTAAAGAGCCTCTTGATGAAGGTGAAGGAGGAGACTGAAAAAGCTGGCTTAAAACTCAACATTCGGGGGACTTCCCTGGTGGTCCAGTGGTTGACTCTTCCTTCCAATGTAGTGGACGTGGGTTCGATCCCTGGTTGGGGAACTATGATCCCATGTGCTGTGGGGCAACTAAGCCTCGCGGGCCACAGCTGCTGAGTGCACACACCCCAATGATGATCCCACTAAGACCTGATGCAGCCAAATGTGTGTGTGTGTGTGTGTGTGTGTGTGTGTGTGTGTGTGTATCTATCTATCTCAACATTCAGAAAATTAAGATCACGGCATCTGGTCCCTTCTGTGTTGTGCTTAGTCACTCAGTCATGTCCAGCTGTTTGTGACCTCATGGACTGTAGCCCACCAGGCTCCTCTGTCCATGGGGATTCTTCAGGCAACAATACTAGAGTGGGTTGACATGCCCTCCTCCAAGAGATCTTCCCAAACTGGGGATTGAACCCAGGTCTCCTGAATTGCAGGTAGATTCTTTACCATCTGAGCCACCAGAGAAGCCCAAGAATACTGGATGGGATAGCCTATCCCTTCTCCATGGGATCTTCCCCCCTCAGAAATCAAACAGGGGTCTCCTCCATGGCAGGCAGATTCTTTGCCAGCTACCTGGCAAAGATTCCCTACCAGGGAAGCCCTTGGTCACATCACTTTGAGGCAAAATTATGGGAAAAAAGTGGAAATAATGATAGATTTCATTTTCTTGGGCTCCAAAATCACTGCAGATTGTGACTGCAGCCACGAAATTAAAAGATGTTTGTTCCTTGGAAGAAAAGCTATGACAAACTTGGATAGCATATTAAAAAGCAGAGACATCACTTTGCTGACAAAGGTCCATATAGTTAAGTTCGGTTCAGTTCAATCTCTCAGTCATGCCTGACTCTTTGTAACCCCATGGACTGCAGCACGCCAGGCTTCCCTGTCCATCATCAACTCCCAGAGCTTGCTCAAACTCATGTTCATCGAGTCAGTGATGCCATCCAACCATCACATCCTCTGTCATCCCCTTCTCCTTCTCCCTTCAATTTTTCCCAGCATCAGGATTTTTCCCAAAGAGTCAGTTCTTTGGATCAGGTGGCCAAAGTATTGGAGTTTCAGCTTCAGCATCAGTCCTTCCAATGAATATTCAGGATTGATTTCCTTTAGGATTGACTGGTTTGATCTTGTTACACAAGGCCCTCTCAAGAGTCTCCTCCAGCACATCCATATTAGACTCTTAGATACCAAAGTCACTTAACTGGCATTTAAGGATCCCTCCTTGTTTCCTTTACCCTTTTCTTAAGGACAAAAAAAGCAAAAAAGCATGTGATTCTCCTTCATGGGGTCATGACTAGCTCCACTCTGGCCCTGGCAGAAGCAGCAGTGAGTTCTGACCTTCAGAGTAGCCAGACAGATACTCCTCTGCCAACAGAGAGGATGAAGGNAGTTTTCTGAATGTTGAGCTTTAAGCCAACTTTTTCACTCTCCTCTTTCACTTTCATCAAGAGGCTTTTTTGTTCCTCTTCACTTTCTGCCATAAGGGTGGTGTCATCTGTGTATCTGAGGTTATTGATATTTCTCCCTGCAATTTTGATTCCAGTTTGTGCTTCATCCAGTCTGTGCATGATATACTTTGGATATAAGTTAAATAAGCAAGGTGACAATATACAGCCTTGACATACTCCTTTCCCAATTTGGAACCAGTCTACTATTCCATGTCTGGTTCTAACTGTTGCTTCTTGACCTGCATACAGATTTCTCAGGAGGCAAGTAAGGTGGTCTGGTATTCCTATCTCTTTAAGAATTTTCCACAGTTAGCTGTTATCCACACAGTCAAAGGCTTTAGCATAGCCAATAAAGAAGAAGTAGATGTTTTTCTGGAATTCTTTTGCTTTTTTTATGACCCAAAGGATGTTGGTAATTTGATCTCTGGTTCCTCTGCCTTTTCTAAATCCAGCTTGAACATCTGGAATTTCTTGGTTCATGTAAGCTATGATTTTTCCAGAACTCTTGTATGGATGTGAAAGTTAGACCATAAAGAAGTCTGAGAGCCAAAGAATTGATACTTCCAAACTGTGGTGCTGGTGGTGACTCCTGAGAGTCCCTTGGACAGCAAGGAGATCAAACCAGTCAATCCTAAAGGATATCAACCCTGAATATTTTATGGAAGAACTGATGTTGAAACTGAAGCTCCAATACTTTGGCCATGTGATGGGAAGAGCTAACTCATTAGAAAAGACCTTGCTGGGATATATTGAGGGCAAGAGGAGAAGGGGGTGACAGAGGGTAAGATGGTTGGACGGGATCACTGACTCAATGGACATGAGTTTGAGCAAACTCTGTGAGATAGTAAAGGACAGGAAGCCTGGCATGCTGCAGTTCATAGGTTGCAAAGAGTTGGACACAACTTAGCTACTGAACAACAAAATTAAAAATGAGAGCAATCCTCCAGCTTCTCATTCTCTCCTCCACCTCCCGCATTCATTAAAACAAAAAGTAAAACTGAGCTCTGAGGTTCACTACAAGTGATATGGTTTTACCTCATCATATTTAGTTTGAGAAATAAAATCCATTTCTAACTTCATATGGTAATACTTGTTAACCACTAGATTTGTGGAGAACACTAACCAAGCAAGAAGATACAATGAAGAGGAAGGAACCTAAATATATTATCCTTGTGGAGACTCTAGTATCTTTCATTAAACTATGAGAACCCAGAATTTAGCATATATATAATGTGTGACCATCAGAAGAAAACCAAGAAATGTAGTCCATTAAATACTTCTGTTTTGTTCTCCATAAAATGAGTCTAGTAATTCTTTTAATTTATATTTCATTTGAACGTACTTGTTTGACTAATTGCACTCATGGAGTGTCTCTATCTCAGAATCCATTGGAGGTTATTCTTTGAGTAGGCAATAACCCTGACTTAGAAATACCAATAGCTCACTGCTGTGAGCAGCAAGTGTGGCAGCAGCCCATTACCTGCTCTTTGCGTTCCTTTTCACATCTGCTTTCTCATGAAGTATTGTTCTTCGAACTTGGACAAATTCTTGTATTAGTTTTCTGTTCTATAGAAACAAAAGGCTGAGCTACAATCTCCTGGGAAATCTGTCAATATGAGAAGCACATTCTCATGACTAGTTCTTAGTATGGGTTGGCTCAAAAATCTGTCATTCCTTGTTTTACTTTTGAGAATCTTCTCATGAATGAATTGGCCACAGACCATTTTGCAGGAATTCACAAATCCACCAAAAATTGGACTGGATCATTAAAAAGCCCAGAGTGACTTGATATTGTAAAATTTCAATATTTACTACTAAACAAGCATCCTTATGCCCATTTTTGGAGTATGAACATCAAAATTTACTGTATAAAGAGTATGAACAAGATATTGAAACTGATGCATCCTCCAACAGTGTCACAGAATCTTAGAATAGAATCAGAAAACTTTTAGATCTGGAAATTACCATCAAGGCTGAATGAATTCCTTAATTGGCACAAATAAGAGAATTTCCTTATATAGCTTTTCATACAGCTAGCAAATATCCACGCTAGGGTCATGCCCAGGTATCCATATTCTCAGATTTGTTCTGCCAAGTTATGAACCAAATTATAGGAAATACTTTAAGGGATAAATATTTACCTCTTAGATACTGTAAGTATAGAGATGTGGCTTGTCATCTATTTTGTGGTTCCAGAGTTTCTGTAGATGTGGCAGACTATTTACAGAATGAAGATAGATGTTCTAACTCAAAATGAATCTTCTGTTCATTGCTTTTCTCAGAGCGCCCAGCACCTCCTTGTTCCTCAGACTGTAAATGAGAGGGTTGAGCATGGGGGTGAAGATGGTATTAATCATGGAGAGTATTTCATCCTGCTCTGAAGTGTGAAAGGAGTGGGGAGTCATGTAGATGATCATGGCCGGCCCATAGTAGAGGCTCACTACAGCCAAATGAGAGGAGCATACAGTCAGGGCTTTCCTCCTGCCCTCTGGTGAGTTCATGTGGAGGACTGTGAGGAAGATGAGCATGTAGGAAGCCATGATGAGCCCTAATGGAAGAAGAACAAATACAATGCAGATGACAGACACCACCATCTCATAAAGGGAAGTGTCTTCGCAAGAGAGCTTTAGGACAGCAGGCATCTCACAGAAGAAGTGGTGGATCTCCCTGGAGCCACAGAAGGGGAAATGCATGGTGTAGATGGTATTGAAGAGAGAATTTAGGGCACCTCCACCCCAGGATACTAGAGCCATCTGCAGGCAGACTCTTGGGTTCATGATGACTGTGTATCTCAGGGGGTTGCAAATGGCCACATAGCGGTCATAAGACATAAGGGTTAAAAGGAGACACTCACCACCCCCGAGGGCAAAGAAAAAGAAAATCTGGGTGCCACAGGCAACTTTTGAGATGTTTTTCTTCCCAGAGAAAAAGTTGATGGCCATTTTTGGAACTGTGGTAGAAATTAAGGCCAAGTCAATGAGAGAGAGATGGCTGAGCAGGATATACATGGGGGTGTGGAGGTGGGGGTCCACCAAAATCAAGAGGATTAAGATGGCATTGCCAGTGAAGGCGATGATGTAGACCAGAAGAATGGAGCTGATGAGGACGCTGATATACTGCAGCTCTGGGAAAAGTCCCAGGAGAAAGAAATCAGTCAAGGTTTCATTCTTTCCATCCATGTTCCAATATCCAGACTAGAACTAGAGGGTATACAGGAAACAAAATTTTAAAAGTGCAATTCTGTTGAAGTCCTGCCTGCCTTTTATTTTTCTTATGACTTTATTGAAAACACTCTCTTTGAAGATCCTTCAGTGCAAAGGAAGAAAAAAGATAAAAAATATTTAACAGCTGGGTTAATGGTATCTTATTAGAAAAGAAGCTCTCTTTTCAGGAAAATACCCCTGGTTATGAGCGGCTGAAGGATGGAATATCTAAAAACTTTGGCTGCACCACTAACATGAATTTGTGGTTGATATCAACATGAACAGATCAGAGGAGGTGGGTCAAAAAGAACTGACTGGATTCTTTAGAGGATACTGACTGGTGAGAAATTCCCAGGGTTAGGACAGCCAAATATTTTTAAAATAATAAGAAAGCATATGATTCATGTTAATATTGTTATGTGGGTGTGCTTCTGGTATTTAAGCATCTTTTATTGTCCTCAAACTTAGGGCAGTCTGCTATGCAAGTAGCATAGCAGTGAAGTGAAGGAGCATCTGTGAAGTGAAAGAGCAGGGCAGGAGTAGTATCTAGCAAGAGTTGTTGTGAAACAAGAAGGAAATGCATGCGTGGATTGGCAACATAAATCAGGTAATGAATGAAAGACAGAAGCCACAATTCAGAACTGGAGATACTCAGCTGCTTCCTAAGCCTTCAATCACAGGAGTCTATAGATGTTTGAGGAGATGCTAGGGTTTGCCACGGCTTCCTTTTGCATATACATTTGAGTCAGTTTTATTTAAATTTGAAAGGTCATAGTAACCTCAGCATTCTCACATGCTTTACACATATGAGAATGGCATTTGTCAATTTACTTATAACGAGATTGAAAATGTTTCTCTGTGGAAAAATAGGAAGTGTTTTTAAGCCCATCTGCACTCACATAGTTTCAGAAATATCCTCTTCAAAGTAAGGGTAAATAGCCTCCACAGGTAATTGCTTCAAGCACAGTGAAAGTGTAAATTGCTCAGTCATGTTCCTTTCTTTGTGACCCCGTGAACTGTAGCCAGCCAGGCTCCTCTGTCCATGGAATTCTTCAGGCAAAAATACTGGAGTGGGTTGCCATTCTCTTCTCCAGGGGATCTTCCTGACGCAGCGATCAAACCCAGGTTTCCTGCATTGCAGGCAGATTCTTTACCATCTGAGCCACCTTGTTAGATATTCTTAATCATATTTAATAAAGGAAAACTGAACAAATTTTCTAATTAAAGGCACTGTTTTGAATTGAGGACACAGGTGGATGAAAAGCATATCATGCTGATATACTGATGAATTCATCAGTATAGAATTCCTCATTTGACCAGTGCATCTTAAGATGTAATTTGACCACCTTTAAAGGGCCCTACACTTTCTAATTTGGTTCAGCCTCCACCGCTTCTTTTTATCTTAGCTCTAGACACATCATTCTTTTTAAAAATATGTTTGATAAAGATACATAAGTTTGCAACTCACAGGTAAAAAAAAATTCAGTTCATAAAATTGGGTACATTTTGACCACATGGAAGGCCTCTTGTATATATTTAGAACCATTCGGATGAGTGAATTTATGCTCTCATGACTCTGATTGTAAATTTGGAGCTTTCCATAGATAACATGAGATGAAATGGAAAACCTAACTTTTGGACTTCTTCACAAACCTGGGATGATGAAATAGAGGTGTCAAGGGCTGGTCTCTTGTATATTTTCCCATCTCTGTCCTTCCCTTCCCTGACCTCATAGGCTATTCTTGGGTGCCAACAGTCAGTTCTTTGTACAATGATTCTCTTCAGAGACATTCATTCTTGCTATGTCTCTCTAGCCTTCAGGGTTTGGATGAGACACTTCTGTCTCTCGAGTGGGAGTTGATGAGGTAATTCCCTTTAAGATCAATTCCACTTTCAAAATACATTATATGCTGATGTGGGAAAAAGCTTTTGAGTCCTCTACAGCAGATGTTTTTAAAATAAAAACTTGCGTTTGAATCTTAAACACCAACTGGTATTGCAGTTCTCAGGTAGAGTTGCTGCTGCTCCTAAGTTGCTTCAGTCGTGTCTGACTCTGTGCGACCCTATAGACGGCAGCCCACCAGGCTCCTCTGTCCACGGGATTCTCTAGGCAAGAACACTGGAGTGAGTTGCCATTTCCTTCTCCATCTTAGGTAGAGAGGCAGTCTTAAATGACTGATGCAGTCTTGGCACTATTCATCAACACATTTACTATCAGGGTTCTCATAAAAACCTTTTGTATTTGAATAATAGGCATTTTGGTTATTTGTTCATATGTCTGCTACTTGTCCTCTGTTTGTGAGACATTTGACTTCCTCATTAATTTTCTTAACCTTCACTGCTAAAACATAGAATTTTGAACAAAAAAAAAATAAAAAAATAAAAAAAAAGAATCATAAAAAAAATAATAGGCAATAATGCAATAAACATTTTTCAGTTCAAAAAAAAAAAAAACATAGTGCCTGGCATACAAGGCTACTTAATATAGTCGAAAGAAGATAAGAAAGGAAGAGGGGAAGGGGAGACAAAGAAGCATACAAGGAAACCCATTAGGATCAGTTTATCCTGGGAATCACAACAGAATTGTCTTATGTAAGTAATAACTTATTACTTCCTTCTTGAGCTGGTTAAATGTGGAGGGCCATCTATGAGGAAATTTACTCTTATTTTCTCAGAACATAAGCATAAATTGGCATTAAACGAGGCATGATTGGTGGATACTGGAATGCACGAGGAAGGTCTTCTGTCTAATCTTCCTTGGAGGCTGATTTTCATTTGACTTGGATGGTTCAGGTTTCATCTAGCCTGATTCCCTTCATGAACAAGATGATGCCAGAATTATACTGTTTTTTACCAAAACTTGAAAAGAATAAATGTGTGTATGTGCTCAGTCATGTCCGATTCTCTGTGATTCCATGGATAGTAGGCCACCAGGCTTCTCTGTCCATGGAATTTTCCAGGCAAGAGTAGTCGAGTGGGTTGCAATTTCCTACCCGAGGGGATCTTCCTGATCCAGGGATTGAACCTACATCTCTTGTGTCTCCCGCGTTGGCAGGAAGATTCTTTTCCATTGAAATAATTAATTTCAAATTTTCAAATAAATTCCTGGGCAGGAACAAAGGCCAACACACAAGACAGATAATAAGAGCTGAAACAGTGATAGTAAATGTGACTTAAGTCTTAACTATGAGCAGGCCACAGTTTTAACTCCTTTGCACTTACTAATTGCTCTCCCAGTGTGCTAGATGTTATTTTGCAGATAGGAGATTCCAGCATAGACATTACCTCACATGCCTAAGATCAAATGATAAACAAGCACAGAGCCTTGATTTGGAGCAAGTACTCCCAGAGGCCATGTGCGGTCTGTTACCTGTGGATGACTACCATAGCCATGCTCTTCCCTACTTTGTCCCTCCTCTTCAGGCTGTTCAACCTCTTCAGCCCCCAGTGTACCCAGGACCATACATAGACAATCCTGCTCCCCTGTCTCACCTTAACTGAGAACCACATCAGGAATGCAGCATCTGGAGTGATGGTAAAGGAGGGAGATGGAGGAAGAGTAAAAGGACATGGCCCAGTGGCCTTTTCTCTGTTACCCCCAGTGCATGTCTTCAGCCCAGGCCCTGCTTACAGGTAAGGCCAGTAGCCTCAATTCAGCTCTTCACTTCCTCCATCTAAAACCACTGGCCCTACTCAGATTGTGTGTCTAGGATTCCCTAACTGTAGATTTCAGGGCTGGTGAAGATGAAACATTTGTTAACTGCTGAAGGGAGGTATAGTTAATGCACCTTGAAGAAATGACCTGGACATTGACTTTACATCATGCTGGGCAAGCATCAGATTATTAGTCCCAACATACCAGGCAATAGAGAAACCTCCTACGCTCAGTCATCACTGACCTTGGAAAAATTGGCTCACCCCAAGGGAATTAGATCTATTCTTTGTGTTTAGATTCATCCATGTGATTGGCTTGATCTTCATGGAGGAAAACACAGCACAACCAGTGGAGGACACATTACAGTGGGCTGTGATCTGCCAGGACATGAGAAATAAGTACAAGGCACTGCATCTGTCAGGGGAAATGCCTGATGAAATCCATGTCTGCCATTATGTAACTGCTTTGGGGACTCCCTCAGATCTAAGCTGTTGGGAAATCTGCCATAAGACTTTAATTAATTCTATTCCCTGAGAGTTACTTGAATTTCTTCCAGATTCCAGAGTAACTGTCTGATCAATTAGGAGAGACTTTAGAATGCACACAGGAAAAATAGAAGTTGTACAAATATCTGCTTGAGTCTTTGCCTTCACTTCTTTTGGATACATATCCAGAAGTAAAATTTCTGGCTCATATGGTAATTTTATGTTTAATTTTTTGAAGAATTTCTATACTATGTTCTTCAGCAGCTGGAACATTTTACATTCCCAAAGGAAATGCACAGTATTTCAGTTTCTCCACAATCTTGCCAGCATTTATTTTCAGTGTGTGCATAAGTGTAGGTTTGTTATATGTTTTACCATGGTCATTCTAACTGGTGTGAACTAGCATCTAATTGTGGTTTAATTTGAGTTTCCCTAAAGACTTGCGACATCTACACCTTGCATATATCAGGAATCCATCTGTCTTGGAATTCCTAGCTTCCAGAACTGTGAGGCTGGAGAAGGCAATGGCAACCCACTCCAGTACTCTTGCCTGGACAGTCCCATGGACGGAGGAGCCTGGTATGCTGCAGTCCATGGGGTCGTGAAGAGTTGGACATGACTTAGCGACTTCATTTTCACTCATTGGAGAAGGAAATGGCAACCCACTCCAGTGTTCTTGCCTGGAGAATCCCAGGGACCGCAGAGCCTGATGAGCTGCCGTCTCTGGGGTCGCACAGGGTCGGAAACGACTGACGTGACTTAGCAGCTGCAGCAGAACTGTGAGGAATAAGTTTTTGTTCTTTATAAGTCACCAAGTTTCTGGTATTCTGTTTTATGATGTATA